GAGAGTTGGAAGAAGCCAGAGAGCCTGTGTTAGCAGAGGACAAGTGGGCAGATCCAACTGGGGCTGTCACACTGGGACAGCAGCTGAGGCTGGGCTGCCTCCAGGGTGAATTCAGTGGCTTGTTGGATCTTGAAAACTGCACAAAGACATGCACAGAAGCAAAGCTGTGGGCCTGAGTGGAATGTGCTGGAGGGGGCGCTAGGGAAGCAGCAGGTCCAGGAGAGGACATGCAGCCGGAAAGAAGTCCCTTTGTCCCAGCGCCATCGGGCCATGCTGGGCTCAAAACAGGCCTTTTTGCTCTCCACCCAGGTCCTGCTCCCTGAAGCCTGGGGCTGTGGGTAGGCAGGACCCTCCCTGCTGGGCCCTCTGGGACTATAGTCGTTTCTTCATGTGCAATGCTCTACACCAAGCTACAGGTCTGTAAAGGGGGAGGGCAGTTTTTATCCCTATTGACTGACTAGTGGAGGAAACTGATACCCAAAGAGACAAGGATGTTGCAACCTGATTCTCATGGATGGTTCCCATTAGTCCCGGGGTGTTGCTTGGTTGGGAAAGGGATGAATGAATGAATGAATGAATTGATGAGACATTGCCTGTGCTTTGGAAAAGGGCCCATGTCCAAGTTCTGGTGAGAACAGGGTTGTAGCTAACCCAGACTTTCTCCACCATCTGCATCAGCCCTGAGAAATGTGAAGCTGATCGTGGTGTTACTGTGTTCTTTTTGAAAGCCAGTAACAGATAAGAGGCAGTGGCACTGGTCTCTCTTGGCCCAAAAAGAAGGGATTCTGTCATCTGCTGGTCATCTTCTCCCACCCTCAGAACAACTGCATAGACACCAAGGTTCAGCCCTGTGTATTCAGCTCTGGGGTGTGTGTGTGTGTGTGTGTGTGTGTGTGTGTGTGTGTGTGTGTGTGTGTGTGTGTGTGTTGGGGGGGGAGCGGTGCGTCCCAGCCCCACCACACATCAACCTGTTCCTTTTTCTTCCTTTCCACTTCTTGGTTTGTGATGTTACAACTGGCTTCATTTTTAGCAAACAGGCTCAAATGCACAGTCCCTCCTGACTGGGGTATAGGAAGCCATGTTGGTTGTACCTGTTGGGTCTTTCTCTTGGTAGCTGGTTTCTGGTGTGATTGGCATCTTTGTGGGTTCTCAGTGAGGACAGCCTGTGTTTCCAGGCCTAGCCTGTGACTCTAGCGCAGTTGGCGCTCACTTCCAGCTCCAAGGTTTCACTCAGGGTCCAGATGAGGATTAACTTCTCAGGATAAGTGCCTGTGGCTCCAGCCTCTAAGCTGGAGTATGGCACAGTCCTGGACTCTGTTTCCTCCATTCCCAGACCTAGGGTTTTTTTTGCCTCTCTTGTAGTTCAGCAAAGTCCTGACAGGTAGAGCCACTATCCTTGTTCATTTCTAAGCCAGACTGCTTTTCTTGTGTCTGAAATACAGATGTTAACGTGCTGGTTAACTTTGTCAACTTGACACAGCCTGGTGCATTGAAGGGAAACCCTGACTGATAGATTGTCTAGTTCAGTCTGGCCAGGGGGGATGTCTGTCTTGATTAGTAATTGATTCAGGAGGCCTCAGCCCACTGTGGGTGGCAGATCCCTAGGCAGGTGGTTTGGGGCTGTATAAGAAAGCTAGTTAAGCATGAGCCTGTGCCCAAGCCAGCAAGCAGTGTTCCTCTACCATTTCTGCTTCAGCATTCTACCTCCAGCTTCCTGTCTTGAGTTCCTGCCCTGACTTCCCTCAATGATGGGTTTTGACCTAAAGTGTAAGCTAAAATGAGTCTTTTTCTCCCCTAAGATGCTATTGGTCAGTGTGTATTATCATGGAAACAGAAAGGAAATTAGAACAATGTCTAACAAATGATTGATGCTATTACATCAGCTCCAATTTTATAATAAAAGTCTAGGGCTCAAAGACATTAAGTAACCTGCCTGAAGTCACACAGCTAGGTAGGTCATAGCATTAACATTGAGTCCACCAGTGACTCTTACCAGCCTCAGAGCCGGACATTGGAGCAATGAGGTCTTCAGAATGGCCCACATCACCATCTGAATACAAACTTGTGAGAGGCCCCAACTGAGAATGGTCTGGCAGAGCCTGGTGGCCCACCAGATTTGTGAACAAAGAAAATTATTGTTGTTATTGTAGGTCACTCTCAGGGTAAGGTTTGTCATTCAGTGATACATCAGGGACACTGTCCTGTTGCCCACTAGACACAGTTAGCCTGGGACATCATTTGTTCATTCATCCATTCACTCAAGGAACGCACATAGAGCCCTGCTGTGCCCCCGGCTCTGTGTTAGGCACACAGGAGAGACAAGCCAGTGACGACTGGACACAAGACATTAAATAGAGAAACACGAGGTAGTACCAAGCAGCCGTAAGTATCAAGATGAAATGAATATGTTATGAGACTGAATGACGAGAGGGCTTTCTGCTTAGGTGATGGGGAGGCAGCTCCAGGAAGGTGATGTTGAAGTAGAGATGAATATCAAGAGGGAGTTGAAATATGGCAGCAGAATATTCCAGGCAGGAAGACTTGATCAGATAAGTGCCCTGAGGTGAGATGGACCAATGAGATTGGCATGTTTAAACATCTATCCAGGACTAATGTTCCGAAACGGCGTGACCTTGGGAGCAGAGGGCAGGGGGAGGAAGGGCTGAGGAAATCACAGCTCATATTTACCCATCTTAGTTTGACTATCTCTGTCTCTCTCTGTGTCTCTGTCTGTCTATCTATCTATCTATCTATCTATCTATCTCTCTCTCTCTCTCTCTCTCTCTCTACCTCCCTACCTACCTGGGAGATTATTCATATGGCCTTCTTCTATACAAAGGAGTATAGGAATCACAGAGTTACACGGGGAAGCACTGAGTGTATCTACCACAGACAGCAATATGAGCTAATTTATATTTTAGTTGCTGCTCCTGTAACTGTTTGACAACCGACTCAAGAGCAGTGGGAGTCGTGGCTGTGACCGGGTCCTGAACTGATATCTTTCTAGCTTTCTTTGTTGTGGAGATAATGCACTCTGAGCCGAAGTGACTTAGAGGAAGAAAGGGTTTATTTCAGCATTTTCTTCCAAGCCATGCACCACTGTTGAGTTGCTGGCTGCTTGTACAGCCTGGCACCACCAGCCCAGGGAATGGTGCTACCCATAGCAGGCTGGGATTGCTGGTATCAATTCACAGTCACGATAATCCTCCCCAGACATGGCCACAGGCCAATCTGACATGGGTAATTCCTCAACTGAGACTCCATCTCAAGTGCCTCTAGGCTGTGTCACCTTGACAATTAATGCTAACGGGGACAATGTTCCAACTTTTTCCCTTTTTGAGTTTGTCATTTGTAGCTTTACATGGTGGGTCAATTCTGTCCCCTGAAACAACAACGAAACCAAACACTGAAGGTTGTATCCTGTCTTAGGGTTTCTTCTGCTGTGAGAAAATATCACGACCAAAAACAAATTGGAGAGGAAAGGGTTTGTTTACGTTATATGTCTCAATCACAGTCAGTCTTAAGGGAAGTCAAGGAAAGAACTCAAGCCAGGAGGCTGGAGGCAGGAAGTGATGTAGAAGCCACAGAGGAACACTGCTTACGGACTTGCTCCTCATAGCTTGCTCAGTCTCTTTCTTATAGCACCAGGACCACCCACAGTGGACCGGGCCAACCCACATCCATCACCAAGATAATGCGCCACAGGCTTTCCCATAGGAGGCATTTTCTCAATTGTGGTTCCCTCTTCCAAAATGACTCTAGCTTGTATCAAGTTGACACAAAACTAGCCAGCACATTGTGACAGGCTTTCTCTTTATTGGGCCACCAAAATATAGTGTAGTTCAAAATATACTTAGCTCCCAAATCATGCATGATGTGGAGACTTACTATTAGTTTTGAATGCTCGGCTTTAGCTTAGCTCTTATTTCAATCTGTTTCTCTTTATCTATGTTTTGCTTTGGGGCTTTTTACCTTTCTTCCTGTATGTCCTACTCTGTGTCTGCTGTCTGGTGGCTGTCTGTCTGCCCCCCAGGCGTCACTCTCTTTCTCCCTTGTTCTCTCCTTTCTCCTCCTCCTCCTCCTCCTCCTCCTTCTTCTTTTTGAGCCTAGATTCCTCCCCCTATTTATTCTCTCTGCCTACCAGCCCCTCCTATCCCTCTACTGGCAAGCTATTGGCCATCAGCTCTTTATTAGTCCAATCAGGTGCCTTAGGCAGGCAAGGTGAAAAAATGCAACACATTTTTGTAACACAAATCTTAAAAGGTCTTATAATAATAATATAAAAAAAACCCAGAGCCAGATATTGGGGTGAAAGCTGAAAGATCAGAGAAGCAGAACATCCAGCCACTGGCTTACCTCTATGAAATCCTCAGCCTCAAGAGAGCAAGTTCCTGTTTCCTCATGCCTTATATACCTTTCTGTGTCCTGCCATATTGCTTCCTGGGATTAAAGGCGTGTGTCACCACTGCCTGGTTCTGTTTTTCTCATGTAGCCCAGTGTGGCCTTGAACTCACAGAGATCCAAATGGATCTCTGCCTCTCAAGTGATACCATTAAAGGTGTGTGCCACCACTGCCTGACCTCTATGTCTAATTTAGTGATTGGCTCTGTCCTCTGATCCCCAGGTAAGCTTTATTGGGGTACACAATATATCACCACACATCTTTATATAATTAAACAAATACAGTATAAACAAATGTAACACATCTTTACACAGTTAAAGTAATATTCCTCAGCATAAACAAATGTAACACATCTTTACATAGTAAAATATTCCACAATAGCACATTGCCTAAGGGAATGCTCAGGTCAAAGATAGAGTTAAAAATTCAAAACCGGCCGGGCGGTGGTGGCGCACGCCTTTAATCCCAGCACTCGGGAGGCAGAGCCAGGCAGATCTCTGTGAGTTCGAGGCCAGCCTGGGCTACCAAGTGAGTTCCAGGACAGGCACAAAGCTACACAAAGAAACCCTGTCTCGAAAAACCAAAAAAAAAAAAAAATTCAAAACCATGAATTCTTAATGAGGGAGGCCCTGATTCCCAGACTTTGGGATTTCATGGACTGGTAAATTCTAAAGATAATTTAGAAATCAACCATGAGTTGTTTGCAAGGAAACCAAATGAGCACACTGTGTCTCATAAGCAGATAGGCAGTCACTAACAAAGAGACATTAGTATTTGTGAGCTGAAAGGAACAATGATACTGTACAGAATATTCTTTTCATAGAAAAAGACTGACTTATTTTTATATCACCCACATGCATGGGCCACAGACACAGATATGCTTGTGTGTCCTAGCTAGAGATACACAGGAGTTTAGATTGGGTGGCTCCATGGAGTTGTGCTTGAGTACGCTTTATGCTCAGAAAACTGAATCTATGTCCTGGCCCACTGTAGAACTCTGTACAGTCCCCCACATTCAGGCAGCTGATTGGTGGCAGATCCCTCTCAACACATCCAGTGTGGAAGTCACATCTAAAGCCAGTATGCCTTCATTTACTGGTTCATCTCTTTATTCATATGCTGTCCTGTTGGAAGTTGAGTGGGCCTCTTACTTGAATAACTTTGTGTCTGTGTGAGGGACTTTGTCCTTAGGGGACTCATATTAGTCTGTTTTTGTAACAAAAAACCTGAGGTGAGATCATCGAAAGGAATGGAGTTGATCTCATGGTTCTGGGTTTGGGGAAGTCCAGCAGCATGGCTCTGCAGAGGGCCTCTTGCCATCACAGCACATGGTGGGAAGCAGAAAGGCAAGTGGACACTGGCAGAAGTGGAGAGCAATCAGATTCCTTCCAGAAGGTGTAGAGCTACTCGGGTAAATAACCTGTGGTATATCCAGACAGGGGAATATCATTCAGTGATAAAAATAAAGGTACTATTAAATATTTATCATTCCTTTGTGGCAAAGAAAAGCAAACCTTTCAAACTCTTTCCTTCTGTATTCTGAACATCACTGCGGTCAACCCACTCTGGGGCAGCACCCAAGACCCTCTTGCTCCTCTTCAATTGTAACTCTGAGCCCAGCAATGAACCTTTCCCATCTGTGGTAGTCAGCTGTAGTTGTCAACTTGACACAATCTTAAATCACCTGGGAAGAGTCTCAATGTGTGATTAAGTTGGTGGTGGCTGTGGCTGTGAGGGATTGTCTTTATTAAGTTAGTCAATGTGGGAAGACCCAGCCCACTGTGGGCAGCACCATTCCCTAGACAGAACATCCTAAACTACATAAGAATAGAGAAAGTGAGCTGAGTACAAGCAAGCGAGTGAGCATGCATGCATTCATTTTTCTCTGCCCTTGACTGAATGTGATGTGACTAGATGCTTCAGGTTCCTGCCATTGTGAGTTCCCTGTACCCTGGAACTGTGAGCCAAAATAAACCCTTTCTCCTCCAGTTGGTTTTTGTCAGAGTATTTTATCAGGTAACGGAAATGAAGCTAGGATGGCATTCTTTCTCCACCTTCAATGAGTTAAACCTTGGAACAACAACAAAAAAGCCATTAGGAAAAAATAATAGTACCTGTTAACTCTATATGAGAAAAGTAAAGATTATTTTTTTCTCTTCAGTTTGTTTATTTTAAAAAGGAAGAAAGAAAAGTGTTATCCAGCCATGAAAGGATACAAAGTACCCTTCTGTGCATGGAAGTGAGGGTGTGAGTCTAGATTTCAACTATGTGATATTCTGGAAAAGGTGAAATTTTGGAGATGACTTTTTTTTTTAAAGTCAGTGGTTGCCAGGAGTGTGGGAGGGAAGGTTGAACAGGTAGGTATGTGGGGTTGTTCAGGGCCAGGAATACACAGTATGATGCTAGACACATGTCATTATATCTACCCAAAGGCATGGGACACACACTCCAAGATGAACCCTGATGTAAGTTCTGGACTTTGGGTGACAATGGTATGTCAATGTGGGTGGAAAGTCATGTTTGTAGCAAGGGCAAAGTGTAGTGGGGGCGGGGGGAGCACTGTGCTTTGTGTTCAACTTTGCTACAAACCTTAAACTGCTTTATAGAAATAGACCTCCCAAAATGTTAAGTTTTACAAGAATCCATGCAGATAAATGGTCTGAAAGACACACTGCTTTTGAGTTGCTAGGACCAGTTTCTTCAAAGAGAAATGGATGTTTGAAGTCTTTCACTGGAAGACTGGCAAGTTGCCTTGTTGGGCATAGAATTTAAAGGTCACAGGAGGGACACGGAGTGAGAGTAGTATCCGCCCACTCACACATGGACACCAACACAGAGATTTGGAAGGGAAGATTTTGAAGGGTCGAGTCTCAGAACCCGGATACAAATGTGAGGCTTGATAGAAGAGAGGAGATGTGGTGTGCCCCCTGAGTTTGAGAGGCATCTAGGAAAGGGTGTAGTAAGGAACAAGCAGATACAATTGTAACACATACCAAACCAAAACATTGGTGAGCTTGCCTGGGACCACCCACTGTTGTACAACAGCTCTTATGGTAGAAGTAACTGGGTTCTTTGCTGACATTGTGGCTTGATTAGGTTAGGGTGGTCATCAGAATAGATAAGCTAATAAGATTTTCCCCAGGATTAAAAAATATTATTCATTATTAGTGTGTGTGTGTGTGTGTGTGTGTGTGTGTGTGTGTGTGTAAGTCAGAAGACAATTTGAGTCACTTGTTTCCTTCCACCATTTAGGTCTCAGGGACACTGAGGTCCACCAACTCAGGTCATCAGGTTTGGCTGCAAGCCACCTTTATCCAGTGAGCCAGCTTGCCTGCCCTATAAGGATATATTTACTATCACAACCTTTTCAAAAGTCTTAATTGCTTTCTTCTCTGGTAACAGAGTAGTATTTTAAAAAATGGCCTGGACATCTTGGTAGTTCCAAGAAGTGACCATAACTGTTGAAGCAAATTTCCCAGCTCCCCTTGTAGTGGGCCGTGGTCATGTGATCATTTCTGGTCAGATGTAATCTTAAGCAGATCTGCTGGGAGAGTTTCTGGGGACATTTTGCTTCCCATTTCCTGTCTTGGGAAAGGAGATCATGACATCTGGAGCTAGGGAGCAAGCCTGTGCCCACAAGGAAAGAGGACCAACCTGAGGATGCTAGTGCCCAGTGCAAGGACCAGCCTGAGGATGCTAGTGTTCAATGCAAGGACCAGCCTGAGGATGCTAGTGTTCAATGCAAGGACCAGCCTGAGGATGTTGATGCCCAATGCAAGGACCAGCCTGAGGATGCAAGTGTTCAATGCAAGGACCAGCCTGAGGATGCTAGTGTTCAATGCAATGACCAGCCTGAGGATGCTGATGCCCAATGCAAGGACCAGCCTGAGGATGCTAGTGTTCAATGCAAGGACCAGACTGAGGATGCTAGTGTTCAATGCAAGGACCAGACTGAGGATGCTAGTGTTCAATGCAAGGACCAGCCTGAGGATGCAAGTGTTCAATGCAAGGACCAGCCTGAGGATGTTGATGCCCAATGCAAGGACCAGCCTGAGGATGCAAGTGTTCAATGCAAGGACCAGCCTGAGGATGCTAGTGTTCAATGCAAGGACCAGCCTGAGGATGCTGATGCCCAATGCAAGGACCAGCCTGAGGATGCTAGTGTTCAATGCAAGGACCAGACTGAGGATGCTAGTGTTCAATGCAAGGACCAGCCTGAGGATGCTAGTGTTCATGCTAGTTTCAGGTAATTGTGAGCTGCCTAGTGTGGGTGCTAGAACTGAATGTGAGTCCTCAAGTGCTCTTAACTACTGAGCCAGCTCTCCAGCCCCAACATGTGTGCTCTTGATGGCTCTGTTTCCACATAAGGACACTGAAGGAAGAGGGCTGGTGTCCAGTGAAACACATGCATCCATATTCCTAAGTGAGATGAATACTTTAACAAAGAAATAATGCTTTGTGTATAGACCATCTCTAAGTGATAGCCAAGGTTAAAAAAAATCAATGTTAGCCTAAGTATCTTTATGCATAACAGAATATTTATAAATAAATACAAATACATGTAAAATTGACATTTATATACTAAGTGCATTATATTTTAAACCTGGTGTGTGTGTGTGTGTGTGTGTGTGTGTGTGTGTGTGTTTGTGTGTGTGTGTGTGTGTGTGCAATATGTGTGGAGGCCCGAAGTTCACACTGGGTGTTGATCTTCATGAGATGTCCTCCTTATTTATTGGTAGAATCTCTGAGTAGGCCTGGGGCTCTCTTATAAGGCTTAGATCCATGGCTACTGAGCTCCAGAGATCTGCCTGCCTCTGCTTCTCCAGTGTTGGCCTTACAGGTGCAAACCATCATGCCCAGCCTTTTTATGGGCTCTGAGGATTGGACTCAGTTTGCATGGCAAGTACTTCACTGACTCTCCATCCTCATAGCCTGCTTTTTATTTAATAAAATACCATGGTATGTTTCTGTCATTATAGTTTTAAAAAAATGACTAATCTGTTATTGCTAAACAGGGTATGTCCAATATTTTCACACCATAAGCAACAACTAAATACACCTGTCAGTTTACTGTAGGCTAAATTTTTCCCCCACCAGCCAGTTCCCAAATAATCACACAAAGACTTATTATTAATTAAAAATGCTTGGCCAATAGCTCAGGCTTGTTACTTGCTAATGCTTACATTTTAAATTAATCCATATTTTTTATCTATGCTCTGCCACATGGCTTGGTACCTTTTCTCAGTACGGCAAGTTCATCTGCTTCCTCTGCATCTCCTCACAACTCCTGAGACTCCTTCCCTTCTTCTTTGTAATCTCTTTTGTCTGCCAGTCCCACCTAACCTCTACCTGTCCAGATATTGGGCAGTCAGCTTCTTTATTAACCCAATCACAGTGGCATGTGTTCACACAGTGTAAAGGAATATTCCAGTTTACTTTGAATAAACTTGTGGACATGCTCATTTTAAAGGTTGATACCTCTCCCTATGCAAATGCTTACTAAGGCACATGCTATATTTATGCTTGGAAAACCAAACAAATCTAAAGTCTACCTGTTTAGTGGATGGAGTTTTTGTTCTGGAAAAGGGTCTGGTAGCTGAATAGAAAAACAAATAGTGGATCTTTGTAAATTAGGGTGAATGATAAGTGGGAAATGAACTAAGGCAGTATGGAAATAGAGACCTATTTGGTCGACGAGAAGCAAAAGTTTTTGGAGTGGTCTAGGCAGATAAGATGGTCTGTAGTAGAGTGTGTGGAAATACACAAACTTGTATCATTTAATTGTATTGAAATATATAAACAAACCAACAGATAAAAAGAAAATATTTATTGGTGGAATTCAGTGATAAACGTTCTTGGAGCCAGGGATATGAGCAGCAATTTAGAATGCTTGCTGTTCTTACAGAGGACCTGAGTTCAGTTTCCAGCATCCACACTGAGCTGCTCACATCCACCTGTATTTTCAGCTCTAGGCGATCTGACGCCCTCTGCTGGCCTCTGTGGGTGCTTGTACATATATGTGTGCACACACATATAAAAATCAATCTTTTTAAGAGGTATAAATTCTTACACTAGCGACCTGTAGTTTTATTTGTTTGCTGGAGTTTTATAGTCTATTTAATAGCTGTTAGACAATATCACCTCATAACTCCTTTTCAGAAATATTTTCCCAATATTTATTTGCTAAAATAAACTTCACAATGATTTTGTCATGGTTTACTATCACTGTTTCCCCAAATCACACTGTTTCTTGTTGTAGATCTATGCATACATAAATTGATATTCTTTGTAATGTTGAGACTTCCTGTCCAGGAATTTATTATGTTTCCATTTATGAACATCTCCTTTTATGTCCCTTAGTAAGGCTTTATTGTTTTCTTTATATGGACTTTGCCATTTCTGATTATGCTTATGATTACCATACACCTCATAATACTTATCAATAATGTGAATATAATTTCCCACCATACATTCTGAATGGTAATCACTGGTATTTAGTGTTGCGTATTAGGCTTCTATGGTAGTGCCTCTCTGCCTTTTAGTTTTGGATGAACTGAGGCACAGAGGAAAAGGAAATGGGACACAAACACTCTACCCTCGTTACTGCCAAAGGTGCCTGAGAAGACTTGCTGTCTTTCTCCTGTAAGTAGACAGATTTATTTTTATAGTTTCAAGAATAATGGGACAGTGATATGTCTACGCCCCAGAAACAGTTCTGCTCAATAGTGAAAGCATATGAAAAAAATTCAGTCTACAGTCAACTCAGAGCCAAAACAGAATTCAGAGCCATCTGTTCTGTTTTAATCCCTTCACCAAACTCACTAATCACTTCTTCCAATCTACTTTTTCACTAGGGTGGAGAGCCTGAAAGTCTCTCCGTGTAGAGAGACTTAACGAAGTGTGTAGCATTTTAAGTCCATTCTTTTGTGTTTTGGTCTTAGGGAAACAAACCATGAACTAATCACAAAAATGTTCTCTGTCTTCTTAATTTGTCCTTCTCAATTACTTCTCTATCTTATTGCATTGTCTTTATAATGCTCATATCAAGCACTCTTGTTTCTGATTTCAATAAGAATATCTCCAATGTTTCGCCATCAGATGTGTGTGTTGATGGCTTCTGATAGATAAACTTGGCCGTGTTAAAAAGTTTAAATGTGGCCAGGTGTGGTGGTGCACGCCTTTATCCTAGCTTTCAGGAGGCAGAAACAGATGGATCTCTGTGAGTTCCAGGCCAGCCTGGTCTACAGAGAGAGTTCAAGGCCAACTGGGGTTACAAAGTGGGACCCTTCTTAAAAACCAAAACCAAACTAAAACCAAAATCCAAACCCAAACTACCACACAACAAAAACACCTTCGAACGTTCTTTCTAGTTCACTGTTTTGTTTTCATTTATAAGACGTTGGTGCTGAGATCCATTAAGTACTTTTAGAGTAACCATCCCAGGGCTGAAGAGAGGTCTCAGGCTAAGAACACCTGACACACTTACCGAGGACCAGGGTTTGGTTCCCAACGCCCACATGGTGTCCTTAACTCCAATTCCATGGCATCCAATGCCTTCTTCTGGCATCCATTGGCACTGCACACATGTGGTGTCCATACATACATGTATGCAAACCACCTATACACACAAAATAAAAATACATGTAAAAATGTAAAGTATCTATCCTATTGATATTATAATATCTGTTTTTAAAAAATCAATACAGCCGGGCGGTGGTGGCGCACGCCTTTAATCCCAGCACTCGGGAGGCAGAGGCAGGCGGATCTCTGTGAGTTCGAGGCCAGCCTGGACTACCAAGTGAGTTCCAGGAAAGGCGCAAAGCTACACAGAGAAACCCTGTCTCAAAAAACCAAAAAAAAAAAAAAAAAAAAAAAAAAAATCAATACAACGAATTTACAAATATCTTAAAAAGGGGGAGGGGGTAACTATGTCGCCCTGGCTGACCTGGAACTCTCTATGTAGGTCAGGCTGGTCTCAAACTCATAGAGATCCACCTGCCTCTGCCTCCTGGCAGCTGGGATTGAAGCTGTGTGCTACTAGGACTGGAGAGATGGCTCGGTGGTGGAGGACACTGGCTGCTCTTCCAGAGGTCCTGAGTTCAATTCCCAGCACTCACAAGGTGGCTCACAACCATCTGTAATAAGATCAGGATGCCCTCTCAGGCATGTGGGTGTGTATACAGACAGAGTGCTCATAAATAAACCTCCCCCCACACACCTGGCCTGATTTTACATATCTCTTTTCCTTTTATTATTACTTTTAAAAAGGATTTATTTGTATTTTATGTCTGTGCACTGTGTGCCTGGTGCCCTGGACAGTTGTGAGCTGCCATGCGAGTGCTGGGAGTTGAACCAAGACCTCTGGAAGAGCTGTCAGTGCCCTCAACTTCTGCGCCAACTCTCCAGGCCCAAATCCACAGATCCCCTCCCCTTTTGTTTGTTTGTTTGTTTTTTTCGAGACAGGGTTTCTCTGTGTAGCTTTGGAGTCTGTCCTGAAACTCACTCTGTAGACCAGGCTGGCCTCGAACTCACAGAGATCCGCCTGCCTCTGCCTCCTGAGTGCTAGGATTATAGGCGTGTGCCACCACCACCCGGCATAGATTTCTTAATATTGAATTTTCTCTTTGTAGTTTTGGACTAAATATTGCTTTATCATAGAGAGTTTTACAGCAAACTGAATCAGAAAGTGCTACAATTTTATTTAGTAGGGCAACAACCATATTAAGTGTGTCAGTCTATGGCAGTGATTCATACAGTGGGAAGTTAATTGATGAGCTTTGAAAAGAGTAGTCTTAGCCCAGATGATTCTGGGAAATGGCTAACAAAGGAGCCTGGTTTCTGTTTTATTACTGGCCTTCACAGAGGCTTCTGTGTTGTAACACTTACTGTGAGTCTCCCAAAGGTGGACAGATGGGTGGCACACAGTACTTCTCATCTCCTTAGACAGCAGACACCTTTTATCAAAGCACATACATTCAGTTCTCTAGACAGTGCTCTGTACTTGTGTTCTTTTTGGTGAAATCTCTGTTGGATCTTCGTATTAGGGTTATGATGAATCTGTAAATACATTAGTTTTCCTTTTGCCTTTTAGCAGGTTTTTGTTGGAGACAGGGTCTCCCTACGAAGCCCTGGCTGTCCTGGAACTCGCTATGTAGACTAGGGCTGGCCTTGAACTTAGAGATTTGCCTGCCTCTGCCTCCTGAGTACTGGAATTTAAAAGCGATTGCCACACCGGGCTTTGTAGCAGTTTAATAACACAGATTGTCTGTCCCCTTATGGTGTGATTGCACTTGTTACAAATCCTTTGGACCAGTGGTGTTTCTGAGTGCACAGATACCTGGAATACATGCACACATTTGGATCTTTTACTCCACAGACACTTCTGCTTGGCACACTAGCTTCAGGATCTGGCTATTTTGGAAAAGCCTGAGATGTGTGACTATGAGTCCTGGTGCATGAGCAAATCAAGCTGGCTACTGTGTATGGTGCTGTTTTAAATGTCCAGTTTAGCACGTGTCCCCTCCAGGGCCTGCAGGCCCGGCTGTGCAGGGGCAGGTGGTTCAGGGATCAAAGGCTGTTGCCGCCTTTCTGCCCAGCCTGAGGGTCCTGCTCCATTTCATTGTGACTTCTTGTACCTTCCCCAGGCACTACAGGAGCAGGCGTCCTACTCCAGATGCCTCCTCAAGGCTTGCCCCCAGGCCTCTGTGGGTAAACCATTTGCCCAGCAAGAGGGGCGAGCTGAGACCTGTTCTGAGCTTGGGGTCAGTCTGAGGCCCGGCTGCGCCGCCTTAGGTCAGCCGGGCAGTGGGAAGAGCAGAGGGGATCGCCCCGGGGTGCAGTCAAGCCTCCCAGGGCCAGGTGGGAGGGCGTCCCTGCAAAGGGCCACTCCGGGCCTGCAGGCCTGGGAGCCGGAGCGTCTTCCAGGGACCTACGGCCGAGCTGAACGGTGGACGAGGGGGACGGCGAGGCCTAGCGGAGCCGAGCGGAGGCCGACTGGGGGCGGGGACCGAGGGCGCCGGGGGCCACAGGGCGGTGCGCTCCCGGCTCCGCCACAGGCTGCGCGCCCCTCCCGCCCCGGCCCCGGCCCGAGCCGCCGCTGCCGCCGCCGCTGCCGCCGCCGCCGCCGCCAGGCCGCGCCCCGCCCCTCGCCGCCGCCGCTCCCGGGGAGGCTGCGCTCGAGCTGCGGCGCCGGCTGCAGCCGCCTGGGCCCCGGGCCCGGCTCCTCCCGCGCCGCCCGGGCGATGAGAAGCTGCTTCTGCGTGAGACGGAGCCGGGACCCGCCGCCGCCGCAGCCGCCGCCGCCCCAGCGGGGAACAGTTAAGTGAGGCCCGCGCGGGAGGACGGGCGGGGGCGGGCGGGCGCGGGAGGAGTCGGCCGGGCCCAGGCCTGCGGGCTGCGCGCCCGGCCCCGCGTGGGGACAGGCCCGGGAGGGTGGCCTCCGCCCGGCGCGGTGCCGCGGGCTCCCGGGGCTCCGGCCCGGCCTTGCGGCTGGAGCGAGCTGGGGACTCGAGTGGCAGCCCCGCTCCGAGGGTGGAGCCAGGTGAGGGGCGATGGTATCCACCGGGGCACACGCTGGGGACAGTTCCCTTGACTCGCCTGGCCAGGGGTCCGGCTCTTTGCTGTCACGTGGGTGCAGATGAGCGCGCACCTGACCCTCAGGCATCATTCCCTGTGGGTACCCAGACTGTAGGGCACCTGTCTGCAAGGTGACCAGCCATCCAGGAAGCACGGTGGGCATGTTGATGAACCTCCCCTGGCAACGACTCCAGCCAGCCAGGGCAAGTGAGGCCTAAGGGGCTGCTTGGCACAGCACCCGGGACCACATCCTCAGATGAATGTGAATAAGGTAGACCCAGGAGCATCTTTGTTCCCTTTGTCTTCAGCACACAGCTGTCCCTGAATTATCAGCTGATCTCTCCTCTGTCCCCTGACCCCCAAGGACCTGTTCAGCAAGACAAGGGGCAAAACGACAGGCAGGCCCAAAGCAAATGGCCATTGCCTCTTCTCCCTGCCCCCACGTGAGACCCAGAGCGCCTGGATTTCAGCCACATTGGCAGACAGCAGGCAGGGCTCCTCTTTCAGGGCCTTTGTCTCTGGTGGTGCCTTCTTGGAGAGGGTTTCCCGACAGCTGGCTGGATCCTATCTCCTTTTACCAGGGCTGGCAAATCTTATCAGTTGTCTTGGAAAAGTTAGAAGATAAGCCCTGAAGAAACCTAAGCTAAATGACAAACTCCGAGTAGGCAGAGGTTAGTTACCAGAGATGGGAAATCGCTTGGGGGTGCTTTGAGGAACTGTGCCACACTCACATTGAAGCCAGTCTCTGAGAATCGGGGCTTCTGCAGGGGCTTGGTCCCCAAGACCCACAGAGGTCGATTGACAGAGCGGTGGCTGGTTCATTGGCTATAAAATCACCTTGTCTCATCGTCCATCCCTTCCTCTGGTTTTTGTGTCCTTGATATAGGCTAAAGACCTTTGCTGTGCCTACATTGGTGGACCTTGGCCACTTCAAAAATATTTCACTAAGGTTAAGTGCAAGGGCTTTAGAACGAGACCCTGGCCTGTGTCTGGCTTTTCTAATGAACTTTTCTGTGTCGCCATTTCCTGGTTACATAGACTGAAGCTAATGACTCTATGGTGGGGTTATGGTGGGATATAATGAAGTGTTGCAGGAGAATTTAATGCAGCACCTGCCATGGTGTGGTTTATCATGGATTATCAGTAAAAGCAGTTAGTATTCTTTCTGGGGCTCAGGATCAAACTTGTGCATGTTGGTGAGCTCTACCACTGAGCCACATCCCCCAGCCCAGTTAGCAGTTACTGTTAAGCATTTGGTAATCAAGCTTGCTTACTTAGTTTATTTTTGAGTGCCTGTTTGCAGGCATAAGAAGGACCTTCTCAGGGCAATAGGACGCTATGTTATAGTAAATGGGGCTTGAATTTGAGGGCTCAGGTTGAGTTCTGTCCCACTCTTTAGACCCTAGATGACCCTAATAAAACACTATCCCTTTCTTGATTCCCCATTTTCTTAATTGTAAAAGTGGCTTGCAAATAATGAGTACCCCATAAAGATCATCAATCAGGAACGCACTTGACCCTTCAAGAGGCGGAAAGCCTCATGAAAATTAAGTGGGATCCAGCACGCAGCAATGCTTACATGATTTGCTGCTGGGGTCAGGCCCCATCAGAAAAAGAATTCAGGAATATCTTGATTTTGTATGTGCTACAAGACCACATGGCCGTGTGAACACAGTGGCTGAATGCCCCCTCAAGGCTTAAGGAGTAAGGGAGAGTCCCAACATTGAATTTTGCTCCATTTCATGGCAGAGCTGCTTCAGGGGCATCAGGAGCCAAGTGACTTGGGTCCCTCTGCTATAGCCAGTTAGAAGTGCTCCGTGCTTCATGTCCAAAGGGCAATAGCTTCACCACACAGCCACATAATGACGGCGTTGGAGTTGAGTTGAGCATGGGCAGTGTCAAGTGCTGCTGAGACAGAGAAGTGATACGTGACTGCATCCTGGATGTGGTTGGGCTGAGGACGCTGGCTACCCAGCTGTGGGTGGTGAGCAGAGCTTTCTTTGCCTGTTGGTGCTGCCTGTAGGGCGTCTGCAGGAAACTGCTTCCTCTCCTGTCTCTGCCATCCCTGGGGCTCTCCTAGGCCTTCACCATACTGTGCTGCCCCAGGGAATTGTCTTTCCCAGTGCTGTGTGCAGAGCAGAGCCTAAGTCAGTTCCCTCACTCCAGCTGCCTGGCAGGCAGAGCCACCACCAGGGTGTGTGACATCACCTCCCTTGTCGGGGACATCCTATGGGCAGTGTTTGGTTTAGTTGGCACACTCCTGGCGAGATGCTAAGCTTGTCCTGGCAGAAATATGAGAGCCCCATGGGCCCAGGACCCAGGGCCACACACACAGGAGCTCAGTATCTCAGCTTCTCTGAGGAGGGAGGGCCTTCTAGCTGGGATTTTTACTGATGTGTTCCTGTGTTCTCTTTATCTATATAGATACAGATAGGTGTGCACATGCCACATCCACTCTTAAAAAAATTAAAAAACTAGATACCAACAGAATGTTCTGACGAGTACCCTCATAGCCATTAAAAGAGAAATGCATGATTCTTTTAAAGGTCATCCTTGCGTGTGACAGCAGGCGAGGGTTACATGTACGTGGAGGTCAGAGGACAACTAGTAGGAGCCTGATTTCTCCTTCCACCATGTAGGTCCCAGGAATTAAGCTCAGGTCATCACACTTAGTGGCAAGTTCCTTTACCTGCTGTACCGTCATCCTGACCCATACAAGAGTTTAAGATTCATTTTTATTTTAAATTATCTGTGTGTGTGTGTGTGTGTGTGTGTGTGTGTGTGTGTGTGTGTGTGTGTGTGTGTGTAGGCATGTATACATGAGTGCAGGTACTTTTGGAGGCCAGAAGAGAGTGTTGGAGCCCCTGGAGCTGGAGTTACAGGTGGTTATGAGCCACCCAACACAGGTGCTGGGAACCAAACGTGGGTCCTCTGCAAGAGCAGTACGCTGTTCTAATCCCTGAGCAACCTCTCCAGCTCCATACATGAGTTCTTAATGAGCCATACAAGCCTGTGAAGTTTATGGAAATGCAGAGTGCAGGGTTTTATTCCCAGATTTCACTGAGGCAGAGTGTCCAGGAAAGGGACCTTACTGAACCTGTGTACTTAGTAAGCTCATTTGGGGTGTTCTTATGCCTGCTGAAATTTGAGAACTACGATTCTAGACACTTTTAGAAAAGTGTTAAATGCAGACAACGTTAACTTTACCACCTTAGCTAGTGTTAAGTGTATAGATTGGTAGCAGGAAGTCTAGACACATAGTTGGGCAACTGATTTTTGAAACTTTTCTCTCTGTGTGTTTGTGTACCTTTGCATGTGTGTGGAGGTCAGAGGTCAACCTCAGGTACTACTACTCAAAACCACCCACACTGGTTTTTGGGGCAGGGTCTCTCATTGGCCTAGGTCCATGATAATTAAGCTAGGCTGGCCTAGGCTGCCCAGAAAGCCTCCTATCTAGGTCTCCTCAGCACTGGGATTACAAGCATGTGTTACTATTTCTGGCTTTTTATTTATATATTTATTCATTTTAAATTTGTTTTATGTGTCTGAATATTTTGCTTTGTATGTATGTTGGTGCACTTGTGTGCTGGTCCCCATAGAAGATGGAAGAGGGTCCCTGGAACTGGGGCTACAGATGGTTGTAGGCCACCACGTAGGTGCTTGGAATTGAACCTAGATCCTCTGGAAGAACAACCAGTGTTCTTTACAGCTGAGCCATCTCTCCAACACCACCCACCCACCTCCATCTGGCTTTTTGACATGGGTTCTGGGGGCTGAACTTAGGTCATCTTGTGTTTTCAAGGCTGAATCATTTCTCCAGCTCACTGGACTTTCTTTGGCTTGCGAAATTGAAATATTAAACAGCTCCGCGTGTCCCCTCCTTATGGTTCCTGGCAGCTTCCACTCTACTTTCTGTATCCCTGAGTATGACCATGCTGGGAGCCTTACGGAGCTGGAATGCTACGATGTGTCAGTTTTTCTGACTGGCTTATTTTACTTAGCACAGTATTCTCATTTCGTCATGTTATAGTGTGGGTCAGATTTTGTAGTGGGTAGCCATTCCAGCTTTGATCTGGAAGTTCCAACCCCCATTGAGACTTCAGCAACTGTCACGCCTACAAGGCGGGGCCAAGGGAGGTGCCTGGAGACCTGAGATCTGGATGGGCGGCGCACTCACTGGGTTCCAGGACCTTGGATGGTGAAGGTGGGCCAAGCAGAGCTCCAGAGAACACCGCTGGACTGCGATACACCTTCCCCAGACCCCGCGACCTACCTATCCCTTAACTTGTAAGTTACGCCATTAAATAAATCTCCTTTTAACTACGTGGAGTGGCCTTAATAATTTCACCAATAAGATTTTCTCTCCTTTTGAGGGCCAAATGATGTATGATTGAACATATCTACTGAATTTCATTTGCCCATTCATATTTTGGCCACTGAATGAGGCTGCTCTGACTCTGATTTCAATTCTTTGGGGTACATAGCTTAGAAATGGATCATACGGGAAATTAGCACACTTTTTTCCAAAAATGATGGCCACCATGTATATTCCCACCAATAACATCAAAGTTTCTGATTTCTCCATCTCCTCCAGCTTTAGTTACCCTCTGGATACTTTCTTTACTTTTGTAGGTAGCCAGCCGAATGGGTATAAGACACTTTTAACTGTGCTTTGGGTTTTAACTTGCACTTCCTAGAGACTTCCTAGCTGAACATCTCCTCCTGTGCTGCACACTGTCTG